CATTATAATACGATATTTTATTTTACAAAAACTGCCCAACTCCAGTTAGCTATTTGACCACCAGTTAGATTTATTGTCTTCCCTCTTATCCTGAACAGCCAGACTTCTTGATGTAAGAAAGCTGCTCTAAAGTCATTCACCAATTCTATGGCAGCAATCATTTAGAAATTTATAGGATTTCTTATATAAATCACTCCATTGATAAAAAGGTTCCAAGTAAATAACTGTCTTACTTTAAATGACTTTAAATATGACTTCATATGAATAACCTGATACCATCTTTTCCATGTCTAAATAGTCCCACTGATTATACTTAATTTTTCTCCTGCTCATCAACAGAAGATCTCATTGCAATAAAAACATTAAAGTTTAAGTGAGAACAATGTTACAAAGAAAAAGTCTCTAACCTAAAGCTTAACTGTCAGAATGGACCTATTAAATGTATGGAGTATTAATCATAATAATTTTTTAGAGTTGTAATTGGTTGAGTTTGTTATGAATTCATTAAGTGTAGAATATGTGATAATTCCACTTGGTAATGAATTTAAGTCTACACATGGAAAGGAAGAGACTTATTGTATAATGGAAACAGGAATAAAAGGAATATGTTTATTTAGGAAAACTGTTTCATTGTACTCTCAGAGAGAGTACAACTCAGAACTACTTAAGTTAGTACCTGATGTGCCAGTTACAAATTATTATTCTTTAATTTATTGATTTAATTTTAATAGGCTTAATGCTCTTATGATCTAGTCCCATTCCAGCTACTCTCAAATAAGCTTTGCATTTTCTAAGAATATAAATATAAAATATTCTTGAAGTCTACCTAAAGATAAAAGACAATAGGAGGTAACTACTGTTAAGAATTTAGTAGTTAAACCAAGCTGAGAGTCTACAAAAACTGTTTAGACTTCCTTTGGGCCAAGGGTTCCCTTGTAATCTGAGTAGGGCCTCAGTCTCTGCTACCCACCAGCTTTGTGGACCTAGATAGTTGAAGACACAGCCTGTTCTTTTTTAGTTCCTTTCAATTTCCTTGCCCCAGCCTTGTGCACCATGTGTACCTAAATCTTGAATATTATGGTTTGTGAACTCTGAAAAGATATCCCATCACAAGTTCTCTATATTTGGATTATTCTTGGAGGACAACACCTTTTTGGAACAATTAAAAATTGGTATTTGGATAAGAATTATTAATATTAGCTGCTATTTCTACTCATGAAAGTCAGCTATACTCTATAAACAACAGACATTATGGCCAGAATCATACTAGGGTATAGTCCAATTTAGGAAATACTCGAGTTGTCTGATGCCATTACTCTTTTTATCAAAAGACATTAATATCATATTTCTTTCTTAAAAGTTGAATTATCTGAGTTTTTCAATATTTCAGAAAGGCATTTCTATGAACACTGGATATATTTAAAAGTTGCATAGGTGGAAAAAGCAGTTGGGATTACATGGAATAGTCTGCCTGGGTAAAGAGGAATGACTTGTGCATCAAACCCAAATGCATCTAAAACCTTTTCTACCTCCATCTTTCTTTACACAGATAAAGCATTAAATTTATCCAGAGGTCCAAAGTAGGAACTGCAGATTCTTTCAACTCTTTATCTTCTACCCTTAATCTGGTTAATCAAATAAGGCTTATCAAACATAAGCATAAACTATTTCTTCCTTTCCAAACCTATTGCCCCAATCTTAGTAGGTTCAGAAAGTCTCTTCCTTGGTACTATAATAAACAACCTGTTGGTACAGCTGCACCCAATACCTGGAATGGGTTCTGTTCCCTTTGTTCATCTTTTAAATGTGAATCATCTTATCTTTTCATTCTTTACTTTCTCCCTAGACAATTAATATATCCCTGTGGATTCAAGTACCATTAATAAGATGATGATCTTGCAATTTTTATCTCTAGTTTAAATCACTGTCCTAGGCTTTAAACCTGTAGGTCTATCTGCTTAACATATATTGCTGACTGGCTGTGCCACAGGGGACCTCATCTGCCCCATCTCAAACCTATTCCCTATGTTGTGCTCTCTATTTCAGAAAATAATATGCCTATTTATTCAGATTAGAGCCAGAAACCAGGATATTATCCTTAAATGCCTTTATTCCTCACCCCTACATATTTATTTCTGTTGCTCAAATCTGTTGATATCTCTCCATATTCATGGTCACTATCTTAGTTAAGGATATTTTAAATCTTACCTGGATTGCTGTAACAGCCTCATAAATAGTCTCTCTACCTCCAGACTTATTCCTCTGGAGACTTGTCCCTCTGCAAATCTGGAGTGAATTTTTTTTTCTAAAAATGAAAGTATGAATGAGCCTGTCCCTGTCCTGCTTAATCCTTCAATAGCTTATTACTGCCCAAAAGATCAAGTTCCAACTCTTCAGTAACTTACAAATCCCCTTAAGGTCCCTTTTAGGTCATATCTCTAGCTATATTCCCTTCAGTTAATTAAGCTCCACTTTTCCTGATACATTTAGTCTCTCTCTTCTAAGACTTTATAATTTATTTTTCCTCTGCCTACAGTATTCTCCCCCTATTTCCTTGCCTAACAATTTATCTATAGATGCCAATTTGGATTTCATTTACTATTTTGACAATACCCCCCTGACTATGCCTCTTTCAAGACAGGGTTTGGTGGTCGGAGTTGCTCTAAGAGGAAACTTTACCCATTTACTATAATAATTTTCAAAATTTTTGTACTCTAATTGCCTCTTTTCTATTTCGCCATACTATAAGTTTTTGAGGGAAGGGATTTGTAAACACTTATATCATAGATGTCTACCAGAAAGTTTGAATCTATTGCATATTCAGGTCACTGCCCTTCTTAGAGATTTCTGATGGCTCCTAGAGGCCTACTGAATACACTCAAGCTCTTCTCGTGGCACATAAGGCCCTTTTCAATGGACTGACTACACATGTTTTCCAATTTCATGTCCAGGAACTTCTGTTTCTCTCCCCCCCTCACTTTTTGTATGCTTTACTCGCAATACCTTGACACAAATCATTTTGATGATGCCACACTTTGGCTTAAAATGTTCCTACTTTATAGAATGTTTTTCTGTACAAATTTTTCTAAACCACTCTTATCTCCAACTCAGACTTAATGGCTCTCTTCTTGCTCATCACAGAACTTTTCATATTGTTACTTATTTTTGATAATGTCTTATCAAATGGGGGATGTTTATATGTGTCAAAGTCTTCTACAATAAGCTTCAAGAGGGTATATACTATACCTTTTAATTTTTAATAACTACCACAGTGCCTGGTATCTGTGGTACTCCAATATTTATCAATCACACTGAATTAATAAAAACAAAGACAATGCTATTTCAAGTACTCTTAACAATACTTTGAGAAAGAAGATAGGTAAAAGTTGAGAATGGTTTATCCTACCAAATGTGAAAATGAAAATATATAGATTTATACATCTTAGCATAATCCTAGAATAAAAAAAATTTGGTTTCCTTCCTGACCTCTCTCCTCTTTAAAAAGTGCCAGTTACAGAGCTTCTACTAACTCTCAAATTAAAAAAAAAAAAAAAAAAAAAACAAATCTTCTAATTTACTCCCTAACCCCCAACTATCTTTGGCAATATAAATAAGAGCATCAGGAAAAAAAAAAAAAACTTTAAACCAAAAATATTTCATCAATAACAGTCAACTGTAAACTTCAAAGGTAAACTTAATGGCACAGGTCCAGACTGCTTTGATTTAAATCCCAGCTCTACAACTTTCTGGTTTTGTCCAAATCATTTATCAATCAATCAATGCCTTGGTTTCTCCATCTGCACAGTGGGGATAAGTTTATATATGTAATACATTTAAAACCCAGTTGTAGTTACTAAGAGTTAGCTATTATTATTATTATTATCTTAAATGGTGGCTGTTCATTTAATAATCAAAAGTTACAATCTGTTTCTAGATTTTAAGAAAGGTGCCCCAAGACAGAATGTGAGCTTTAAAAAGACATAAAGATTTTAGACTATTTGGGTATTAGTATAGAGCAGCTGAGCAAATAAGCATGTCTTAAAATACCAGAGTTGGTTCTAGGTTCTAATTAAGATCTTTTAATTCAATTGACTTATTTCCCAAAATTATAATTTTATTTCTCCATGTTCATAATTGTAAGCACCCTATAATGATGGTATGGATTAAGTAACAAATGATTAAAAAGGACTTTTAAAATAGAAAAACTGAATTGATGAACTTATAGGTACCTAATGTAATTAACAATATAACATACTATATTAATTCCTATAACACCTTCCAGTTCTAGCTCTCAACTCCTAAATTCTTAATTTTTTCAAAAGGTATTATAAATTTATGTATAAAAATACAAATTTAAAAATCTGTATTAGTTTGCATTAGAATATTATCAAACTTAAGATGTGGATACCATAAAATTAAAAAGTGATGTATTATAGTTATATAATCATTCCTAAAAGTGGTCTTACTGAAATTTAAAAATACTAACATATTTGAAAATCTGATTTTAAAATGTTAAATAATTATATTAATAAAAATTCCAGCTTAAAGCCACCAAATGATCCAAAAAATATTTTGATATAGCCTATAATTCTTGTTAGATAGATTAGGATTTAGCTATGGTGTGATAGCACAGCCAAATCTTGATTATCTCTAGTCTGTGGCAATATGGGTATCTTGGATAGTTAAAAATCCATCTCTTCCCAGAATATTATCTTCAGTCTCTCCCACAAAGTATTTACCATAGTTAATGGCTTATTTGCATTTAAACTCCTTTTCCTTCTTAACTGAACAATGAAATTGCTTAATTAATTAATTAACAACAAATAAAGCATAGGAAGGAAAGACAATATAATAGCCAGACTGAACAATCAAGAGTTGGCTGCACAGTATTACATTTACTTTAAGAATTAAAATAGCCTCATCCTACTTCATTATCTTTAAATGAAATCAAACAGGAGTTCCTATGCCTTAACATTCCTAGTCAGAGTTTCTCTGAGTACCTGAAAGAACCCTGGTGGTACAGGACCTACTGGCATGCCATCTCCTGGGGGAATGTTTCCTAGCACTGGACTGGGAGCTGCTGCAGCACTCTGCAAAGAATAAAGGAGAAACAAACCTATATCATTACAGAGAAGGCACAAAACCAAAGACTAATGATAATCGATTATAGGAAGGGATAGTTTTTCATTCCTGGGAACAAACATTGGTAATTTTCTGCATTCTGGAAGAATACTAAGATACAACATAGTTTATTAAATGACCACATTGGTTGATTTTAACAGGTATCTTTAAACTTTGTGAGGTCAAAGAAATTTAATAAGATGATATATTTGAATAACATTTTAAATGCCAATGGTACTATGACAAAATGATAAAGGTTTAAGTAAATGCTTTAGGGCACAAACATCTGAAATGGCAACCTCAATAAGGAATGGTAAATATTTAGGTAAAAATTTTGAAGATTGTGCTTGTAGGAGTTGGTAAACAGAACTCTAATTTTTTTTAGAATATACTTTCCTATGTTATAAATAAGTATAATTCATATTCTGTCTATAGATGGCATCACATTCACTTTCTGATATATTATAAATGATAGTCAAAATATAACTATGGATTGGTGGGGATGAAAATGTAAGTATGACATTGAGGGAAAGAAAAAAAATTAAGATTTGGAGAGATTAGTCTCAAATTATGAAAAACATCAGATTATAAAATGAAGTAGACTTTGAATTTTTCAAACTCTTTCATGGAATTCTAGCATATCATGAAATAAAAACTGTGATTCAGACTCTTTGTAATCAATCAAGGTTACAGATTTAATACTTAGATACAGCGGTTACATATACAACTGTTCTACAACTTTTAATTTTATCACTCAACCTCTTTAGACATATTACAAGACATATTACAAGTCAAGAAAGGACCAGATAGGAATGTAAATTAGTACAAACATATGGACAATAGTATGAAGAGTCCGCACAAAATTAAAAATAGAATATTGTACAATTGGCAATCTTTCTATTGAGTTTATATCCAAAGGAAAATAAATTAGAATGTTGAAGAGACATCTGCACTACTATGTTTACTGCAGCACAATTCACAATAGCCAAAATATGGAGTAAACCTAAACGCCCATAATTGGTTGAAGGAATAAAGAAAATGTGGAACATACACAATGGCATATTATTCAGCCATAAAAAAGATGATAGTCTATCATTTGCTAAAACACAAATGCCCAGAGGACATTATTCTGTTAAGTAAAATTAGCCAGGCAGAGAGACAAATACTGCATGTTTTGACTCTTATGTGAAATACAAAAAAAGTTGGTTTCATACAAGTTGAGAGTAGAATGGTCATTACCAGAGGCTAAGAATAATAAGAGGAGAGGCTGGTCAATATTGCTGTTAGTACTAAAAGCTAGACATAAAGTGTAATTATTGTTCTAATTAAATGCAGAATAGAAAATTATTTCAGAATAAAAAGACATGTAAAAACATGACAAATGTGGAAATCACAATGTTACTCAAAATACGTGTGTGTGTGTGTGTATTTAGTTGCAGATAGACACAATACCTTTATTTTATTTATTTGTTTTATGTGGTGCTAATGATCAAACCCAATGCCCCACACATGGTAGGCAAGCACTCCACGACTAGGCTACAACCACAGCCCACAGTGTTATTCTGAAGAAAAAAGTTCTGGTGTTGTGTCATATGATAGGGTGACTTTAGTTAACATAATGCCACAAATGGACAATAATAGGAAGACAGACCAGTTTGAATCTAACAGTTTTGCTATGAAATCAAAACAAGAACTGCCTCTAGTATACACTGCACTATCCTCATTTATATCAGTGCATTTATTCATACATTCATAGTCCATTGGAAAAATCTCAGTATATTTATAGAACATATTTCCTGGTATATTAATTGAAATGGTTTTAAAAAATGAAAGGCAGAGTGTTATTTTCATTTTAACTAAACTTGTGTAAAATATTAATACATAGAATTAGAGTAAAGGAAAAAAATCACAATCAAACACTTTTAGTTTAAATATGTATGAATACATCCAGATCTGGGAAGTAAGATTTGATCTGTATTTTTAAGGGTGCCAATTATTGCAATGTGGAAATTGTTCTTAGTACTAAAAGCCAGACATAAGGTGTCATTGTTGTTCTAATTAAATGCAGAATAGAAAATTGTTTCACAATAAAAAAGACATGTAAAAATGACAAGTTTAGAAATCACACTAGCCTATACTTTCATAGAATGTATATTATAACATTGAGCATGTTTATCAAATAACAAAATAGAATTAACTGAATTACTGTGACTTCTTCTGTAGTTCTCCATTCTACTTGCCTCAAAAGTATATATAGGAAGTTCCTGTTTATCCAAAGGGGAAAAAGATTCATTTGCATATAAACCAAAATTCAATAGGTAAAGAAATTGGTAAGAAACAGGCAAAATTCACAGTTAAATATTTGCCTATTAACTTTTTTTTGGGGGGGGCAGACTACTTTGTTTGAAGGAATATAGTATGCCAGCTTTTATTCTTTTAAGTCTTCTTTGTATCTTTATTTTCTTGCCATCATTTAAAAGTGAAAAGAAAAGATTCAGATGACTATTTCAGCAAGTCTTTAAAATGCCTTCTGAATTTTCATTTATGCTTTTAAAGCTATTTAATAAATTCAACCAAAATATTTGCTTTCTTCTCTATGTATAGTCCAGGACTCTTTTGAACTTTTTAATATAGCAGTTGGCACTACATGGGGAAAATATCCTTTCCCTCCTAAAGTTAATATTCTAGTAAGGGAGAAAAACAATAAGTAAAACAAAACCCAAAATATATTTATACATGTTCTAATGGGGGGTGGAGGGAAAAGCAGAGAAGAGAAAATTCTTGGTAAATAGTATAAGGATTACAATTTTGAAAAGGACAGTCAATGAATGAATGCATCAAACTAATGGACCAGGATGAAGCAACTATTAACTAATTTAAATATGTCTCTTGCTCTGTTGTTGAGATCTCTCCGTATTTAAAGATGAACAAAATTCTTACAGTTTGTATTTATTCTCTCACCCTGGCATAATAATTTTGTGAAGTTTCTTCTTTTTTAATATTCATTCTTTCGTCACAATAATTAAGTTGATAGCTAGATTATTAACAGTGTACAGTATGATGAGTTAGTTATCTCATATAATAGTAAATTTCTAGCCTTGGTTCAAGGACACAATGTGAAATTAACAGAATACTAGTAATAGCCAGTATGCACAGTACAATGTTCAGATCATTTTGGTACAAATTTCTCTCTGTGGACCAGTTTTGAGCTAACCTATCCATTTACTCTCTGGTATTTATTAACAAGGGACACCTCCTCCCTTTATTCTATCATGAGGACTCAGCTTAGAGTAACATTTGGTTCACCAAGTTTATTATTAACAAAAGCTATACTGAAGAATATCATAGAAGGAAACTACTAGACACTGTCAAAGAGTAGATTTCTCAAATTGCTTTACTTGCTAATTTATATACAGTGACTATAGATTTAATACATCCTTTAATACTGTAGATAAGAAACAATCTTTTAGGATTAGGGCCTTATGTAGAAGGAAAAAGTTCCAAATTTCATGGGTTTCACTGCTGGAATTTCTGAGATTTGTCTCAAGTTTACTTCTAACATGAGAAAAATTTATCCATGATCTAAGGATTCACAGAGAGTTGTTGGGCTTAACTGATATAACATGTATTCTTCTGTGGTGTGATAACAGAATCACAACAGAATAGCAAATGGTTTAATTATATTAAGAACTACTATAAAGTATTAGTTTGACTAGATTTCTATGAATTCCCATTAGCATACCAGAGAAAAATCTATGATTATGTAATCGATTCATAATTAGTTAGGGTTGACTTTTGATGGTAGCTCGCTCTTTTAAATGAAAAACATACAAATAACATGCTTTTAAATATTTCTTTTAACTAAACAACATGTGACACTTGGGTGCTGATATAAACCTATTAATTATCATTAATAGTGTCTCGTCTCCTCTATTGGATTAACTTATTTGTATGCTTTTAATCTGTATTTTCAAATATATCTTTTCTAATACACATTTTCTTAAACCATTTGCTTTGCCATATGACTCTGTTAGGAAAAATTTTTTGTATATAATTTTATATGGGAGTTTCAAAGGAATAGGCATAAAATGAAAATTTGTTTAAAATAAAATTAGTATGGACTTTATCTTTAAACATAATTAGCTAGCATTTAAGAGCCTATACATTCAATAACTAGGAGACTGATTTACTAAGAACACTAGAGAACCAATAGGCTAATTATACAGTGGAGAATCGAGATATAAATTCTATATTTGGTGGAATAGAAAAATTATTCTTAGGAATATATAAAATTGTGAAATAATGAAACAAAAAAGAGTGGTATCATTATTAGCAATTGGATAAGAGATTAAAGGGAGGGGTGAGTAGGAATAGATTGGAAAGGGGATTATCGATTATCATTATTAAGCCATCTCTACAATTTTTAAACTGCTAAAATTTGAGTATGTTCCCTTCCAAAATTCAGGTGACCAGTGTGACTGAATTAAGAGGTAGCACTTTTAAGAGATGATTAGACCATTAAGGGTCCTCCCTTGTGACTGGAACTAGGTACCTTCATAACAGGGGTGTTCATGAAGTGAGTTCATTCTTTATTGCTCCTCCACCTTTTCCAAGTGAGCATGCATCAAGAAGGCCCTCACCAAACACCAGATGACAGTGCCTTGATCTCAGATTTCCCAGCTTCCAGAACTGTGTGAAATAAATTTCTGCTTTACGTTTTATTTATTTATTTATTTATTTTTGTAGTGCTGGGAATTGAACCCTGGACCTTGAGCATTCCAGGAAAGTATTCTACCACAGAGCTACACTCCCATCCCAGGTCTGTTCCTTATAAATTACCTGGCGTTAGGTATTGTGTTATAGTAGAAGAAAACACTCTACTAAGACATAGCCATATATAGGCTTGTGTTTTTTGAGAAACATTCAAAAGAGTAATAATAGATATCCTGTTATGACAAATTTTTGGACA